CCCTCCCTTCACTCCTTTCCCTCCCTTCCCTCCCTTCCCTCCCTTCCCTCCTTTCCTTCCCTTCCTTCCCTTCCTTCCTCCCTCCCTTCCTTCCACCAACCCACTTCATGCCTGGCTGCATTATTGCTGCCTAGTCTAGTTTTGGAGCACTGGTGTGTCCACATGCAGTGCGATGTGGTCCCAAGCTACAGCCCTACTTAGTGTTACAGCCTTACCCTGTCACATCCACAGCAAGGTACACCAGGAAGGTGTCCCAGACCAGGGTGACTTATGTTGAGCCCTGGCCACCTTTGATTTTAGGAAAAGCCTGCATTTACGGGCTCTGCTGCAAAGAAGCCATATGCTTCGTCAGCTTTTTCTACTGGGTAAAAAAAAAAAATGTTGAAACCAATTTTTAGTCATTTTTCTCCAAGAGGACAAGTATCTACAGCTGGAAACTCATGAAATGCACACACAGGCTTAGGAATCTTTAAAAGAGCTGGCTTCTGATTTAAAATAAATTTTATCTTTTATTAAATCAAAGTCCTAATCCTTCAAATTTAAGCAAGCAGGTGAACTGCTGAACTTGCAGAGAGACTTGCTAAAACTGATGGGTCCGTGGATGGGCTCAGAAAACAAGTGGTGCAGGTGGATCTACAAGATCAGGTAGCACCATTTCTTAGCTGTGTTTTTCTAAAATCCATAGAAAAGATAATATTGGGCTGATTTTAGGAGTGTTCAAGATCTACAAAACCGAACCTGTTATTGGAAAGTAAAGGGTTTTTTCTCGGCTATGCAGAGGTGCATAGTTGTTTATAATGACCTAATATAGTCAGTTTATTCATCTATGTCTGAAATGCTATGTTGAAGCTCTTAGAAATTGCAGTGTGGTCTTACACTGATGCAAAATTTATTTAAGCCCTCTAATCATAACTCAGACTGCATAAATCAACCCAATAACTTGGTAATAAACCCCTCACTTTCCCGGTACTTGTAAGGCCATGGTGTTTGAAGCACTGTGGTGTGCCCTGTAGAGCGATCAGTCTGGTGTATCAGGGACTAATTGCAATGAGGAGATCTCAGAAAATGTCTTGTCACTTGCTTTGGTCTGGAAGTGTGGGCTGCTGTGGTGGGGCATGAGGGAGGTGGTCTCTTGGCTAAACCAGGTTCAGTCATTGGGGCCTTTGCAGCCTGTGGGTGAGTGGACATGCTGTGGGCTCTTGGTGTGAAATGCTGCTTATTGGTGTTTCCTGCAGTAGCTTGTGTTTCCCAGCTCCCACAGAGTGAAGTACAGCAGCCCAGTTTCCGTGTGACCAAGGCAGGATCAGAGGGGTGCCTCTGACAGAAAAGGTTGTTTCCCTCTTATCAAGTGTGTATGTGTGTGCATGTGTGTGTATTAAAAAAATTAGAAGGCAGCTGGTCTCTGCTTCTGACATAACCATCATCTGCAGGCAACACATCCTGCTCCATTGTGCCTTGACGTGCCATTGTGCCCCTTGATGGGGGGCATTGTGGGGAGGTCTAACAAGGGGCATTTCCATGTGAAACCACTGGAACTTGGGGTTATAGCTGTGTGGTTGAACATGGGGTGGAGAGAGCTGCTGACCTGCGCTGTTGGTAGCTGGTGAAGTGGTGAGTGCCAGGGATTTTGCTGCTGTGATGTGGATGTTGAAAATATTTGTGTGGTGTGATCACTGGGGCAGGGGGTGGGAGGTTTTTATTTTCTTTCTCTGAAGTGTCAGTGTTTGGCTGTGGCTAGAAAAACAGCACTGTATAGAGAGCACAGGTGGGGTTGGTGATATTAAATATTTCTCAGGTGTTGGGTTAGTGTGTCTTGCTGACAGGCTCCATTAAGCTGCTTTCCAGGACAGAGGTTAGGAGTGAATTTTCCTACAGGTCAAACTGGCAGTAATGGATGGGATCCTGTTTCTGCTGCTGCAGTGTGTGCGTGTGCAGCGTGCCCAGCATCATCTTGCTTTTCTTCCCAGACCGGAGACCTTCAGAAGTGGTGATGCCCTCAATTGCTTGTCTTTCTTGGGCATTTTTTCACCTATTTTGCCTTTACAGTTACTCAAATTGGCCAGTAGAGGTGGTGTGAGGTGAGGGTTAGGGTAACTGTTTATGCACTCTTTCCGACTGAGTTTCCTTGCAAGGTTTTCTGCTATGGGGAGGGATTGGACTTGGACTACAGGAGTCCATTTCAGGTCTGTGGTCAGATATGCTTGGATTGGTGTCTTTGCTGCTTTTCAGTGATTTCTATTCAAGCAACCATCCAAGCTTTGATTTGGTTTTTGTTGAGTTTGGTTTTTTTTTCCTGGTGGCAGCAGGGAGGGAAGAAGACTTTTCAGGCATACATAAATGAGTAGCAATGTCAGTAGCTAAATCAGGTGGGATTCAGGGAGCCATCACAAAGTCCTGGTCTG